CTGCAGGATCCTGGACCTCAATCTCGGGAGCAGGGCCGCTCAGGGAGATGGTGACCTCCTTCAGGCTGGAGTCCAAGGGCACAGGCCACGTGTGCTCCCCGCCAGCCTCGTGGTCGGTGGACAGCAGATGAACCTTGGAGGCCTGGATGGCCTTTTCCACCCACTTGAGCACCTAGAGGCACATGGATTAACCCAGGAGCCCCGGACACCAGGCACTACCTTCACAAAGATGGTTTTGGGTGCAGGTGGTGTTGTCCAGGAGAAGGATATGGAGGCTGCACTCAGATGCAGTTATAAGACCCCAGAGTCCTGGACGGTTCTGCAGGCAGCAGGAACAGACAAGGATCCTGCCCAGACGTCACCAGCTCTGCTCTCAGTGCCACAAAAAGCATCAAGCATCACCGCTCTGCTTGTGGGAGGTGACACCGGGCAGGCCACGAGGAGCTGCTCAACTGTGAAACAAATTGACAGGTCCCACCGGTCTCTGCACCTGGCTCCAGTTCAGCAGAAGAAGAGCGAAATCAGCCACTTATTTATTGGGGCACAAGAGTCAAACCCTTAGATGGGGCAAGTGATTCCAGGTCCAAGGCGCTGCAGAGGTGCCAGCGCAAGGGTAGAGCAGGAGCAGAAGGGCAGGAGACGACAGCAGGGACCAACCTGCCGCGCTGCAAGTGGAGATGGGCACACGCGCTTCCCATGCAAAAGGAATTGGGTAATTTGGTGTAATTGTTATTGCCAGATGGCTCCCGCTCAGCCGCTTGCAGCAGATATGCTATTACCCTCCAGCTCGCCCGCGGGAATACAAACCACTAAAACACGGAGCCGCCGGAGGCTGGGAAGGGGCGGGAGGCCGGCGGTGCTCACCGGGGAGCAGCTCCGAGCGGCTGGCCGGGGATTAGGGGGAGAGGGGGCCCAGTCTCACAAGGGTGTCACAGGTACCGGTGGGATTTTCAAGGACATGGAGCAGCAGGGAAGCTCCTTTCCCCACATTCAGACTTCCCCAACCCCTGCTTATTTTCAGATCAGGGCTGGTTTCAGTTTACAGGCTCCCAAAGTGACCCGGAGGCCTCACCAGAGTGAGGATCAGCCCCCAAAGGACACAGAGCAGCCAAGCTGGGTCAGACTTCAGGTTCCCTCAGATATTCTGTCTCCCAGACTGGAGACTCTCTGGTGCTCAAGGGTGTTAGAAACAGCGCAAGCTCAAATAATCCTTCTCCTGCATGCCTGGTGCTCCTGGCCTGCATCCAAGCTGCACAGCCCCATCTCCACACTGCTCCGAGCCCTTTCCCATCCTCAAGCACACTGCTGGGCTGCTCTCCCTCCCCATCAGCCCAAGACAGGCACCAAGTCAGCCAGGTCCCCCATCCCTCCTCCATCAGTCTGCTCCACTCACCTCCTTCACCTGCTGCTTGTCCAGGTGGAAGATCTGCCCAGAGCTGATGGCCGCGATGCGCTCGTAGACGCGGTACCCGGGGTGGCTCCGGTCCCCGCAGTCCCCGGTCAGCACAAACACCACCTGCCAGAGCAACAGCTCCCACGGTGTCACACATGGCCAGGGAGACCCATCCACCCTAGGGAGCACCCACCGTCTCTGCGAGCAGGGTGGCACTTGCAGCAGCAGCCACAAGCAGCGCTACGGGTCGTACCTGGGACTGCTTGTGCTGCAGGAGCTGCAGCAGCTCCTCCTGCTGCTCGTAGTCCTTGGCCCGGGCATCTGAGAAGACGTAGATGAAGGACCCGGGGTGCGAGATCTCCACGGCCAGCTTGATGGCCCCGACGCTCATCTCTGGGCAATCCCCTCCACCCTGCAGCACACGGTGCTCGGTGGGAACACGAGCCAGGGCACAAAACCTGTGATGTCCCCAGGACATTCTGCCCTTCTCTTCCCATGCCCACACTTACATCCCCGTGGGATCTGACCCCACAGCCACATGCTTGGAGGAGCTGCAGAGCTTTGCTGGACTCGGAGCATGGCCAGGGCAGCGTGCTAAAGCCACCAGGACACTCAGGATCACAGCAGAGACCTCCCACCCTCATAGCCGACCACTAAGCCAAGCGTTAGGGCTCTCAGGACCGCTAGCTTCCCGCGGGTGGCTTCAGCGGACACATTTCCGTGGCTCCAGCCCATCACCGTAACGGTGACCTGGCAGAAACCCGGGTGCCCCAGGCAGCTGGCTGCGCATGGGAGACAACAGCGAGGAGCAGCTCCCGTCTCCAGCGGGATTCGCACTCCGAGGGGCTGTGAAATGATTTCCAGCCGTGGCTTTACACCTCCCGCCCTTGGAGCCCGCGCGCAAGCACAACCTGCTAAATGTGGCCACATGGGAAGGGAAAAGGGACAGGGGATTTAACAGCGCCTGAAGGCAGGGCAGGGATAGAGACGAATGCAACGTGGGAGAGTCCTCCAAGAGCCTTCCCGTTGGTAGCGTGCGGTAGCACACTCAAAATCTGTTTTTAAACAGTGATTCGGGAGACCGGCTCCTCCTCGGCTTTCCTGAGCGCAGGAATCACCGCGACTGGGATTTCACCCATGGCAAAGGGCCACATGCCCAACAAGTGACCAGAAGCAGCGTACCTGGACGGAGAGCTCCTGCAGGCGCCGCTGGAAGTGCCGCGGGTCGGCGGTGAGGGTCACCGGGCCCACGTCTGCAAGCACAGGGCACCGCGCGTCAGCCCCGGCCGCCCCGGCGCCCCGCGGAGCGCCTCCTCCCGCGGTGCTGCAGGGCTGGCCGTGCTCCAGGGCAGCGCGCGGGGCTCCCAAGTGCTTTGGTGCCAGCTTTGGCAAGACTCAAAGCTGAGTCTGGGCTTTAGGGAGCCACAGGGGTTTATGGACGTGCATAAAAGCCACAAGGCAAAGCCTAGGATGGTGAGGAAGGTTTCTGGGGCTGCTGCAAGTCCCCAAGGCTCTGCAGCATGCGGGGCTCTTACTGGGGCGCATAGTGGAGCGGCACGGAGGGGCTCACCTGGGTCATGGAAAGGCACCAGCGCGTAGTTGTGGATGGGCCGCGGGCCGCCGAGCGTCTGCTGCAGGATGCGCGAGGCGCCGTCGATCACCCGCACCAG